TTTCCAACTGGCAATCAGTAATGCACTGCTAGTATTTCATTATTCTCTCCTGCAATTTGTTAGATGCTGTCTGATTGCTTCAAACAAAGGGGATCTGGGGCATCAAGAGTCGATTTACTGGGAAGGAATATTGAGGGAATGGATTGATTTTTGGCACACTTTTTGAATACAAACTTTATTTTGGGCCCGGAGAAAGGTTGGAAATATATTCCAGTCAAAAGGCTGAAAACCAAGTGAGGTTACAAGTCACTGGTGGTAGAGTCAAAGTTGAGCTTAAGTCTTTTTTGATTTTCTAAGGTTGATTCTAAAGTCATCAAATTTGTGACTCGAGTGTGACCTAAGTCCAACTCATGTGACTCAGGTCCACATCTCTGGTGACTGCTGCATGAGTACAGTGCAGAATGCTGGTGATTAGCCAGTGGGATACACACACTCAGAAACTCACACACACTAATATGTACGCTCGGCCAGACAGTCGACCACAACAGAGGGCTGAGAAGCTTGGACTACAATACACACACACACACACACACACACACACAGAGGGAGTGTGACTTCATTCACTGCTCAGGACACCATTACTCCACACATAGTTGTTTGTTGCTGTGTAACTGTTGTGATTGTCGTATACAGCGTCTTTAATGTGAGATCAAACTGAAGCATTGAGGAAAGCCTTGAACAAAATACAGCATTTGCGGCAAATTACTTTTAACCTCTAATTGCCAAGGATTTCTGTGAATTTATTTTACATTTAGACTGAATAAGTAGAGACCTCTGGGACCGATATGATTCTTTTAAAAACAGAATACAAAAGCGTGACAAACTCATATTCATCAGTACTTGTGCGAGGAAGCATTCAGATGTGCTACTCCGTGACCTGGCAGAGTTCAGCTTGTGTCAATAAACTTCTGCTTGCCTCTTTAGCAACAAACAAAAGAACTTGTTCTAGTCTCTAATACGGATTAACACACTGATGCAAATCTCCAGTGGGAGTCAGCTGAACTCCAATGAAAAAAGATTTGATGACAGCACAGAACTGTATCTACCATCAAGTGTCAAGGCTAAGGGAAATTACACACACTAAACAATTAGGGATGCACCGAAATGAAAATTTGTGGCCGAAGCCGAAGCTTATTAAACGCTTGGCCGAATACTGAGTACCGAATACCGAATATTGTTGTTTAGTTTTTCATTAGTGTTTGCAGATGAACCCCCTCCAGATTAGTGTTGTCATGGTACCAAAATTGGGACCCACTGTGCCATACCAGTGAAAATATCATGGTTCTGAGTAGTATCACGATACCACAGCAAAAATGAGGCAGATGTGCCTTTTGTCATTTATGAAAAGATAAATCACTTTTCTATAATACATCAATGATATTTCAATGGAATAAATTACTTATTGACTTATTCGTACTTCAAAAACAGCATCAATCAGTGATTAACATAGGGGGGATCAAAATAAAATAAATAAATAAAATAAGAATCAACCAGCCACCCTCCTCCCCTGACAGTCCCTTCATAAGTAAAGAACAGTCCCTAAAGTACGGTGAGGTTTGTGGGCCGTTACTGCCGGAAAGAGAGTAATGTGAACGGCTCGTTTCTCCTCTGACACGTCACATACCTGTGTTCGGCTGGCTCGGCTGTTCAGGTACTTCTGGGCAGTCATGACACCAAGAAGAGGATATTATTTGAGCCGACTTCTCCGTTGCCCGGTAAGCCGATGGCCGCCGTATTTGACAGGAATACATTAACGTTACTGTCTGTGTCTGTGACCCCCGTTCAACCCACAATCGGTGGGATTTGCCTTTCGTTTCTGCTGCTGGTTGAAATCTGTAGGCTGCTCGCACAGCGTGCTGAATGATTTAAGCCTATTTTGCTCGCTCAAAACTATTTTTAGTCGCAAATGCGAGTGCCGTGACGGACGGATCGCCACACTACCGACATTTTATTCCGCCCGTCACGGCACGCTGTTTGATTGCGTTATCAAAACACGCCGCTATTATTCGGCCTTGCTTTTAACTTATTCCACCGAATATTGAATGTGTGTTTTTTTTGCAATATTCGGCCGAATATATTTGGTTACCGAATATTCGGTGCATCCCTATAAACAATAAAAGGCTGTCGGTTTAGTGCTTAGACACTATCTAGTGCTTTTCTCTGTGTATGCAGCTGAAGGCTGCTAAACTCAGCAGATAACGGACAGAAGCTGTACAATACATTTATAATCATTCTTCTAACAGAGAGAAGGCTTGCAAAAGACAGGGGTTATTCAATGTCCTCTACATTCTACGGCTGAATTTTTGGCCTGAATACACCATTGACTGTTCAGTCACACACATTTAGGCCTATTTCTGAAGCTGATATGGAGCTTTAACTTTATGCTTTGATGTGTGTTATCTAACTCATTTATGTTTTCAATTATAAGCTACTTCAGGGTCAATAGTGTCGGTGAGAAGTGCACAATGCAGCTTCTCCATCTTAGTGACATTGTGTTATTTTTACACCTTACACTGTCAGTAAACTGTTCCAAGTATGACTGATTCTTTTCAAACAGCAGTGTCATTCAGTTGAAGAATCTTATTAAGCATGAGCGGTATTGCTATTTACTTAAGAGAACTCCTCATATGTTAAGTGCAAATCAAGTCTCAGCAGTGTGCAAATATCAATGAGGGGCCATACGTGTGTAGAGCCTGAGAAGGCATCATGGAAGATTTCTGTGCACATAAAACATGGGAACATTAGTGCAGCAGCAAAAATGAGGTGATCCTGCTGGCCTGCTGCACTCATATAGCATGACCAGAATTTGAATGTGAATCATGTTCATATGGGGAGAAAAAAGGTAAAATTAAGAAAAAAAACCAAAACAGATTAGACTGAATTAAATAAAATGTGCTTGCATGTGCCCCCATAAATCCAGCAGAGTTTAAATTAACAGGACATAAACACTGACATCATTTATCATAATACTCTCAGCTGGGAAAAGAGCTGTGCACGGCAAAACCTTCATAACACCAGATTCACAAAATAGTTCTTTCTGATAAGTATGGAAGATTTAAAATGCCTAAATTAAAACAAACGGCACAACGAAATAAAGTGAATTTAAAAGTTTTTTAAAGTCCTCCAGAGCATGCTGCCAAAGTGCCTTGAGAAATCGCTTAGTTTACCATTTTTCCGCGTCCTTTGGATACTTTTCGTGCCTATGAGAACATATGTTAAGATGTGGACATACACTTTAGGTGTCAACCTTAAATTCGGCGATGTGCTTTCCATTAATATAAATCTGACGGCACGCACTTATCACACTGTTGGATTGACTTTGTTTACTTCTGTTGGTGGTAAAGACGATCAAAACAGACTAGCCGACAGCATGCCATGAACGTGAGATGATGTTTCACGGCCAAATCAAATAACCAATCGGAGGAGAGCCCTTCTAGCCAATCAGAGGTGGAAAAGGCGGTACCTTCCCCTACCATCCTATGAAAAAAAAAATATCACCGCCGGTGGGTAACTGGTGAGGATAGCAACAATGGCGACCGCTACAGATCCTACAGACCACATTAACAATGCTATCGAGGTATTTCGCCACTACTCGTGTTAATGGAGGACCAAATTAAGGAAGCTGCTAAACTGGATTTAACGGCGATGCAGCTGGGCGTGCACGACGACGGAGACATTTTAAATGGGCAATGCTTGCTTGTTTTCGGCACCCCCGAGGCATGGATACTAATGACGTCAGATTCTGGGTGAGTCGTTGATCTCTACTGATTGGTTAGGGAAAAAATCAAATTCCCTCCCCCTTGTAAATCGCCTTCAATGGAGGCGATGTCAGACTGAAGGTTCTGGGAGCTTCAGTCTGACACTCAGGCTACCTTGGGGGTGGAACCATGGGTGGATCTTAGTGTCAGAGGGCCATTGCTATTGATGTCACATTTACACCACCCTTCAAACTACATAAACAACATTTTACTTTATTCGGATAAATTTCTAATGGCGGAATGAAATCATAAGTTTTGGTGTGCTCCCCTGTAATCCTGATCATTTGGTGTAAGTTTTTTTTTTGCCTTGACGGCTGGATACAATGAAATATGTTTTAATATTATCAGGAGATTTCAATGTTCAATGACTTGAACACTGTCAACAGCCAATAGCTGTAGTAGCACACCATGTAGAAAGTAAACATGGAAGGGACTCCAAGGGACTGGAGGGGAGGTGCAAGAACGTTGTGGGGTGAAGGGGTGAACAAGCATCGGTATTCGGCTTGTATCTGATCCACCAACCAACACTTATTTTAGTCCATCCATCCATTTTCAACTGCTTATCAGAAGCAGGGCAGGGCAGCAGGCTGAGCAAAGAAATCTTAATTTTCAAAAATACTTTTTCTCTCATTCTCATGGTCTCGTCTAACTAAAATAGCACAGCTAACAAACAGAGGCTGGTGTTGAGTTGAGGCGTCAAATCCAAAATGTAAAGTTTGTGTGCAAATAATAGTTTATCTTTATGGACCGTATTGATGCCAACTGACAATAATACTGTTGACATATGATGCCTTTTATCTTGTGTTTCTAGGTTATGTGTTTTGCGAACAGTTAAGGAATTGTTTTTGTCATATGTCTTTGAGTTTGAGGGGGTTTGACGTCATATTTTCCACCAGGAGCAGGATGGAAAATAATCTCAAAGGGAATCTTGTTTAGTTTTGCAAACAGGGACCTTGTAACATTCCAGGCCTTTGCAAAAGCTTACATTGTCTTTAGATGTGAGAGGGTGTCAGACTTTAGTCTCATAACAGTGTTTTCAAAATCTTTTCAAAGCCTTCTGCTGTAAGGTAGGCATCACTTCCATTTGTGATTGACTGTTTGCAGCTTTAAGAGATGGATTGTGCCGCAAGCAGGTGTACAAACAGATACTTAGGGGAATCCTCTTGGCTCAGTTCTCGGTAAATGCTGACAGTAAATAACCCACAGTAAATGCATACATAAAAGGAAATACATATAAAAATGTGCATTGTATTTCACTTTATTTCTTTTAAAAATGTTTAAATTTAGGCAATTTAAATCTTCTATATATTAGACTGGTCAGACTTGGGATAAATAAATAAAAATCCAAACCCTTAAACTGTTGACACTCTTTACATGTTGCATTTTTGCATCCATTTTGGTGTTTTGGGGATCTTTTTTTCACATCTAACTGCCAAAATGTGGTCAATGTTAGGCTGCAAGATTTCCAGCTTTGCTCTAGGGGAAGACTGCTCGCAAAAATCAACATCAGTCAATGTCTGATTCTGGGGAAAATTTCTCACAGTCAAAAGAGAGAGGTTTGTATTTTTAGGCCGCTATAATCACAGCTTCAATAGAGCCACATGTGATGCAGCCTCATTCTGCATTTTGAGTCAGGACAAAAAAGAAAACAAAAAAAAAATCACACTCTTTTGCTGTGTTAACTGGGGACGCCGCTTTCATACTGTACACCATATGACTGACTGCAACAGTCTCCTGACAGCTGATCAAGCTGATGGAAAACATAATCAATCGTAAACTAAGAAAAAAAAAGAAAAAGATGTTAAACCAAAAATAAAACAACAAAAACAACAAAACCCAAGGAATGCATCTGATATGGTTAACTGATGTTATATAAAAGGTATAAAACTAATCTTTAAGAGTGGATATTGCATTCATTTTACACTTCACAGTAGACAAATGTATATTTCAAATTCTCTTCTGCCACAGGGAGGTTAGTCCGGCTCAGTTATAAAGTGTTATTAGACCTGGTGGGGATTTAGTGTCTAAATAATAATTAGGAGACCCAGGTCAGGTCATTCTACAGGATATCACTTCAACCCAGCGAGTTATTACGGTCAGAGGTCCTATTTATTGCAGGTTAAACAACAACTGCAGTCTGGGTCGCATGGGGACCAGTCACTGCTTTATAAAAACAGTGCTTTGTGTTCAAAGCCATCCTTCAGCTACTTTAAATTAACGTCAAACAAGGGCTTAAAGATGAATAATTGATGTTAATCAGAAAACTGCAGCCTCAAAGCACCACCATTTATCTTGTGGACACATTACATTCTTAGAAATGAACACAATCAGTGTGTCTTCATTTTAAGCAGACAACAATGAGAATTCAAAATGAATCCCGACACTCACACTACAGTAATAAGACACAGATGCGGATAACATGCTTGTATGTGCGTATGTGTGTGTGTGTGTGTAATTTCGTGCTTCCAGTGCTAAACAGACAAACTCATTGGTCTAAACTGCATATTAGTTGCTCAGGCACTTGTTTTAAGACATTGAGAAAATAAACAGAATAAAAATGGACTCCCTCTGACATTTGACGGACAGGTACCATCATTTCATTCTGCTCTTTATATCCCAGCATTAAAGAAGCCTTCATTTTCTCCGTATCTCTCAGCTCCATTGTGCAAGCCACTTGAGCCAGTTCATTTTCTGTGGACAAAAAGGCGCACCACTGTGAGTTGAGCTCTATTGCTTTGATGTCAAAGATTGGACGTCATTCACTTCATGACAGATAAAAGGCTTTGTGTGTATGTTTTTTGTGTGTGTGTCAGAAGCTGGACTCAGGGACTGTCCTTTTGCGTCCCAGCGAGGTTGTGCTGTAACGAGTCCTCTGCAGGGTGCCGTAAGACGGTTTGTCTGTTGTCAGGCTGCGCGACGGGGCTGTAGACATCCCGTTACGATGCAAAGATGCTGTCCTACGCATGCTCTGCTCCGCTTTGGTGGGGATATTGGAGGAGCTCTGGGAGCGCTTGATGTCCGCCGCGGTCCGTCCCACTTTCCTGTTTGCCAGCTCATCGCCTGGATGGCCCGAGCCATTAGACTTGCTTCCTTCTACCCCGGTTCCTCCTCCTGCTGCTCCGTTGGACAGTGACAGCCTAGAGAGAGTCCTCCTGCCTCCTTCATCACCTCCTTCTTTTCCTGACTCAGCCTCCTTGGACTTCCTTGAGTCCCTGTCCTTCTTCAGGAAGTTACCTTTAAAGAAAGAGAGCAGTCCCTCATGGCTCTTGGGAACTTCTCCTTTCTTGCTCTTAGAGTTTCCTTCATGTCCACCGTGGTGTTCCCTATCAGGCCTGTCCCCTTTTTGTCTTCTCAGGGTCCCATCTTGAAGGCTAGGAGTGCTGTAGCTGGGTTGAACTCCACCACTCCTTTTTGTCTCAGCAGTATCCTGGGAGGCTTTGGAGGAGCTCTGTTTCCTGGCATCCTTCCTCCTGGTGAGGGTGTTACTGCTGAAGCTACTGCTGATATTTGTGGTGCTCTCATCTCTTGTCTGGCTCCCCTTCCTGCGTCTCAAGCTGGCTGTCTTCTCCGATGGCCTCCGCTGGCCCTCTGGGACTTGTGGAGAGTCAGGTGGCAGCTCATCTACTGCCTTACTCATACAACTTAAGCTTCCTACACTGGAAGATCTGACGTTGGCTGCAGCCCGGCCCCCAGCGGCTTCCTTGGTGCTGCGTGGTTCGCTCATCAATGTTACTATTGGATCCTTTGTGCATCGGGGCCGCCGGCCAGATTCCAAGTACTGTACCAGCTCCACAGGGGCTGGATCTTGGACAGATGGAGGCACTGGGTCAGGTTTCCGTCTGTCCTTTGAACCAAGGGACCAACGTAGGGGAAGCACTTTGCTCAGAGTGTCCTTGGTCTTGCTGGGGGCTCTCATGCTCACGCTGCGTCCCTGAAGGCCCCTGATAAATGGCCTGCTCTCAAAACCCCCTAACAATTGTGTAGAGAGGAAAATGTTTTAGTTTTTTTATTCAAATTGAAGAGCTCAGCACAGAATTAATGTTGAAATAAACACCCAATAAGCTACTAAACAGACTGGGGGAAATATTAGGTGTGGCCCCTTACCCTTTTCCTCTTTAGAACCATTTTCAAGGAAGACTGGAGACTCAGGCGAGTCAGGTAAGGAGGATGGGCAGGTGGTGGAGGATCGAGAGACCAGACTGCCTCTCTTACTATCCCCTGTCAGGCGGATTAGCCAGTGGTCTGACATTGATGAACTGGTGGAGCCTGTGAGACATGGGGGATGAAAGGGAAAATATGAACCATAAAAGAAAACTCCACTGTTTTCTCATCACACTCCTGAAACACTGTTGGGCTCATAGAGGACATTTTAACACAAAAATACAGACTGCTGGATGAAGTATAAATGCACTTCCATGCATTCTTCTTCTTCCAAACCACAGACAGTTTGGTCAGATATGCAGAGCCCCAGCACCACACTTTAAAGCCAATTTGACACAATGGCCAAACTTAAGAATTACAACTTCCGGGTTCGTCACATGATGCCACTGGGCTAAAAGAGGTTTTTCCTATAGACTTGCTTTGTGAAAGAGACGTCTGTAAATTAGTGGATGAATTTTTCTGAGTGTCACAAACTCTGTGAAATTACTTATTTCACAATTAGGATTCGATCCATTCGGTGCGATAACATTTCAAACATCAAAAAGAGGTGCATGATTAAATCATTTTATCTCCACTCAAGTCAGCGGAATGCTAAAGTGGAAGTTAGTCAAGTGTGCTTGCTCTATGGGCCCAACGATCTGGAAGATCCAGGTAATTTTATGCCTGGGGAGTTGAACTTTTCTGGCTTCATGTGCCACAGAGCAACTTTCATAGGAATAAACAGGGCCCTCCTCCAATGTTTTACCCAGTTCTCTTTATTCATTCCTGAGGATTGTGGGTGCGTTATTCTAATAGTGGCTAATGTAGCTTCATATTGCTAGCCTCAAGCAGAGATAAGGAGTAAGCTATAGAGACATGGTAAGATCACTTCTTTCTAACTCCACACCCACAGAATAGTTTTCATTGTCAAACTTGTAGTCTTCAGCCCCAACTGTCACTGACTTACGGTACGTTACATCACTTGAGGCAACTTATCAGACTTTGTGCAGCTCCCTCTGGAGGCACAAAAATACTTCATACAACTTTATTCTTCAAAATAAATTTGACTGAGAAGACAAATTTGTACTCCTAAACTGACTTCAATGTGTAAAGTTGCCCTTTGAACAAACAGATCATCCCAAAGTGAAACTTCTGATGTCCTTTAAAGTTAAATTAAGTTTGTATGAACACAAACACACAGAGAGATAGCTACACCAGTTCAATTACACGGGCAGCTGTGGTGGAGTAATTATTCAAATCCTTAATTAGCTAAATGAAATAACACCACAATGTTAACACACTCCTTCCATGTGTAACAAGTCTCGCATTTGAAGTACTTGAGTGAATATGCTGGGGGAAAATTTGTTTCTACCATGCATCCACCAAAACCTTGGAACACCATCTACAGCTTAAGCCCTACTCACACGGGTATAGTTTCACCTGGAGAGCTCATGTAATTTAGAAATTACAAAAAAAGTTTGCTCTTCTGAAGTATTTGTACTTGTTCTTTCTGCGAGCTTTATGTCTCCATACTGTGTAGAAATATGAGCTTCCTGCACCCAAAACGTTGCCAAAATCTTTATTAATAATTGCCAACACAGCCTCTGTAATTTTCTACCTGAAAAGACAGAGAAACGAGGCGAGTTTGGTGATATAAGGTAGGCCACTTGCAGTGGAATTTTCACTTGACAAATTTCTAACATGGCTGATTCGTACAGTATTAAGATCACGGATGACCTTTGCAATTATTACAAATATCCTCAGGTAATACTAGTCCTGTATATATAAGGCTATAATATAGTTATAATGCTAAAAAAATACAGTGTACCAGTTTTGGGAAACATGGCTCTCTGCTTGCTGTTCTGAGTCAGGTTAACTAAGGATAAAGTACCAGTGCCAGTGCAGTGAACATGTTTTGTCCTGCATCATTAAATATGAATAATACAGTGCTTTTGTATTTGTCACCTGTGCCTCCTGGTCCACTTATCCTTTATTCACCAGCCTGTAACCTGGAATCAATGGAGGTCCACCATCATTGAGATGTTCAATCTCTCAAATGCATCATCTGTTTTCTCCTCCAAACAGAGTGGGAGGACATTTGGACATCTGAAAGCACATAGGGTGCACATAGGAAGCAGAAAGTGTATCCTATGTGGAGGTCTCGAAATAACAGCACTGACTACATTATTATGGCAAATTTTTTCCCTCTAAATTTCATATTTCCACAAGCTTAATGTATTTTTTTCATGAGTTTAAAATGAATCTGCTTTCTACAGTGCCTTCTTTCCTCTCCAAGATCATTTTTGCTGCAGTAGGGTTGAGTGGCCGAGTCTTTTCTCCCCGATTAGTTTGACTTTTAAGACTCTCAGCCCTCATAGGGAGCTTTGGAAGCTATTTTCACTGCTGCCTTGTGTCCTGTCCTGCTCTTTACCTCAAGAAGAGTTTTGAATGTCTAAAATTTCCACCTGTGACTCACTTCCTCAGAAAATGAAGGAGTAAAGAGTAGCACATATACAATACATGTCCACAGAAACTGTGAGTTTTTTCAACAATAGATCTTTGAGCAGCAGACAGTGCTGAGTGCAAATGTCTACCTGCAAAATAACTTCTGTATACTACAGTCTTTTTCTTCCATCAGTAAAATGGTTATCACATTATTGCTCATTTGTCAACAGCAACTGCTTCGTCTGACATTCTTGAAAAAAATGTTTAAATTAAAAAAACCCTGTCTATCTGAAAAGTGCATGGATTAAATCAAGTGTGACAAATCGTTTTCGAATTTGAGTCACACTTAACTTTGCTACAAAAATGATTGAATAGGTATGTATTCAACTAATCTTAAAGCAGTATCTTGTGCATGCTTGGATATGGCTCTGCAGCACTCTTTGTCAAATAGCTCAGTTTTAAAGGTAAAGTATGCATAGTATTTTAGATCTTTTTATCAATTCATGTTTGATGATCATGTGGGAAAATAATAAGAAGTATACTATATAGCAATACTTTTATAATCTACCTGCAGTAAAGCTTAAATTTGAATCACATAGCCGAACAATGCAGACCCATATAAATATCTTGGTTTCTATACTGATGAATATATGCATTTAATTAAAGGTGCTAAGGTTCTTGCTGAATGAGAAGGTAGAGCTCTTGGAGGAATCCTTGAAAAAGTATCAATTTAAAAGATGAGTTTCTAAACATGTCCTTAAATGTGTGAAGCTGTGTGCGTCCTGTACTTGATTACTTGCCGGGGTTGGAGGCTTTAGAAATATTTCTATGTGTAAATCAGGGCATAAGAGTGCTGTAAGATATTTTCTGTGAGGCTCAAGGGAAGATATGTTAGCTCAGTTATGGAATTGATTACTTAATACGGATTAAAGTAGGTTGATGAGGCAAATGTTCATCTGGGATAAACTTGTTACTGGTTCTTGGTTTAAAGATTTACACACATTGTTTTGCATCTCTGAGTTTAGTGAGTTTTTACCAATAATGAAAAATTCAATATTGGTTTGTTTAGAGAATCTGTATCCCCTTTTACACTGCCTCTTCAAGGCAGGAATTTCACACTGTTAAACCACCTCGCTGCTCTGTACAGTATAAATGGTACAACTGCAGAATGGGGGGGCAGAGTTGTCTCGCCTTTCAGCCAGCATTGGAGGTAGGAACAGCTCTGAAAAGCCATCAGGAACATAAAGTTCCTGATGGCTTTTCAGAGCTGTTCCTACCTCGACCCCATGCGTGGTATTTTAAAGGAGCTGATAGCAGTTAGTGGCAAACTCAAAGCAGAAGAAGAAGAGCTCCTGAAAATAACCGCAAAATGAGGGAAAAAAAGGTCAGAGAGCTCTTTACCCTCTGTGCAGAGGATGAGATCAGCTGTCATATAACAGAGAAGGTAAATTATTAATATCTCCATGTTTTGCCATTGTTACTGTTTATAAAGCACTGCTGACTCATATGTTATATGTCAACACTGTTATTGGTTCTGTGTAAAAATGCAAAGGTGGCGTAAACAAAGGACTTCTTAGTGGCCCTATCGTGTGATCTCTGTGTAAAAGAGCTTGTGTTTGCCAAGGACAAGTAACAGTGGGCTGGTGATATATGGACTTAACCAAAACTGTGTACTTTTATGATGATAAAACTGAATATGGTATGGAGAATTGCACTCTAAGTGATTTGTCCAAATGGAAACTGGACAGCATTTTAATATACAAGAAGAAAAGCAGATCTGTCCATTGTGCTGTTTAAATAATACAGAAGATAAATTCCATTTTGTTTTCTGCTGTCAATTTTATTGTGTACTTCACTGTGTACTACTGCAGTTCTTTGTTTGGTAGGATAAAGGGGGATATTGATTTTGTAAACATGGAAGATACACAGACATCAAGATGGCTGTTCAAATTTGAGACATGAATTGGCCAGTTTTCTGGAGAGGACATGGGAGAGGAGAAAATGGGCTCTTTATTCAGCTCGTCTGTGAATGTTCAGTGTTTTGTGTTTTTGATTTGCTTTGTTTTGTTGTTTGTTTATTTCATTTTTAGTTTGATTAGTTTTATTTCCTTTTCCAAATGTTTTGTTTATTGACCGGGAGATGGCTGTAAAACAAAAAAAATATGGTGTCTTATAATCCCATGCGGGATGAGCCAGAGGCAAGACACTGAAATAAATAAAAATCAATTCACAGAGAAATTTAGCATTCAGTGGGCCTGCACCACCTTATTTAAAGCCTCTGAAAACGTTCAAATCTCAAGGATTTCACTAAAATATTTAATATACATGACTAAATAATCAACAAGATTTAAGATTTAACGATCTTAGTTACTACTCATTTGAAGTTTAAAACTGAAAAACTCAATTGTCATCACATTTTGATTCACATGCTGCAAACAACGATTAACAAGAAGTGACATTAACCTTTTCCAACTGATTCCCATTTATCTCAAACCAGTGAGTAAAGCAAGAAGAAAAAACAATTACATGTTCATGTAGGAGCTTGTCGCTTATAGTAAGTATCTGATGGAGAAAATATGCTTTCACAGCATTTAAGGTCCTTTCAACTAAACTATCGGGAGGAGGTCTGTGACAAATCCACCAATAGTTATGAAACTAAAACCTGTTTTAAAAGTATCTGA